ACAACGATTATTGCTACCGCGGCGAATACTACATACTATGTTACTACCTCTCCTTCCTTCCCCCCGTCCTTCTCCTCTTTCTACGTCATTCCAATATGACCCCTCCTCTTCTCATCTTCCGGCCTTCCATCCGTCCTCCTTTTTCTGTTGCGCCTTTTTCCGCCTCCACCGCCGCCCTCTCCTCCTTCTCATCATCATCAGCAGCATCATCAGCATCATCATAATCAAGCCTCTGATGTGATCTGGATTTGCTGCGACTGCTAGGGGCGCGCCCCACGATTGCAGCAGGACGTTCACAGGACGGTACAGGAGGAGGATGAAAAGAAGGAGGCGGAACGTTGATGCAGGCGTTGAAGGGCAGAAGGATGTAGAACGAAGAGGAGGAGGAGGACGAGGCGATGGCGGTGGTTGCGGTGGTGGTTCCTCCTTCCTCGCTTCGCCCTCTTGCCCTTCCCCTGCACATTCCCGGCTCCCTTCCCCGTTTGCCCGCTTCTTTCCCGCTCAGGGCCAGGGGACCCAGGTTTAATCGGAGCGGCAATGAGCTACCGGAGGGTGCTGCAATGAAGGCGGGACGGAAAGAGTCAACGCGAGGTCGCGGGGGCGCCACCTTTCATTGCTAAACCCTCCCACCTCCCTCTTCTTCGCGCGTGCTCCTCGAGGCGATCTCCTTCCACAACAAGCACCGCGAGGGCGCAGACAGTGTCGGCAAGTTCGTGGCCCACCTCAACAGCGGTCTCGCCTACGCCCTCCTTGGGGAGAAGGAAGCCTCGACCGTTAACCACCAGTACGCGCTGCGCTACGCGCTCCAGCTCCACAGCCTCGAGGGCCAAAGCCTGGCCATCGGGAGCTTGGGCTTCAGCAGGGGCATGTACGACCACGACGCCGGCAAAATGAGCGTCCTGATCGAGAGGTACGTCGAGCTCTGCGGCGCGCTGAAGCAGCCCCGCAACCAGGCCTCCGCTCTCCAGCGGCTGGGGGCGCTGGCCGGCCAGCGCGGAGACAACGAGCAGAGCGCCAGCTACTTCCAGCAGGCCACCCAGCACGCCGGCCGCCCCTTCGCCCCCTCCCTCGTTTCCCCACCTCCGAGGCGGGGTGCTGTCCATGCCCCACCACCCGAGCACGGCAAGAACACGGGGCCGACTGCGCGACTGCGCCGAGGCGCGCGAGTTGCCCACGTGAGGTCGCGCGTCGAGCGCCGTCGCCTCCGCTGTGGTGCGCCGCGCTGGCGGCCTGCGTGAGCTGCCGCGTAGGGTCGATATGTCACGTCGCGTGAGACCCTTTTCTTTCCGTCGCTCACCTGGCGGCTCGGACTTCAGGCGGTGGATGCTCCGCCACGTAAAGATATACACAGGCACCCTCCGGGGAGGATGGCGGTGTATCAATCACCAGTGGGAGCCAGCGATTTTATACACGGGGAGGTGCACGCACAGTTCGTCGGACTTTGTGTATGTATGTGTATACAGATACAGATATAGATCCATCGTGGCGTAGATTCTGCTGTCTGCTCGGGGCCCAGCAGGGCCACTCCCGTCCACATCCCCACCGCCCCGCGACGCCCCAGGACGGACCGAAGCCCCGGGACGTCGACCCGGGATGCCTCCCCGCCTCGCACCGCTGGCCTCCGCCGCTGGCCCCTCCCCCTCCCCACACTCCTCCCTTCCCCTCGTGCCCTCCTCCCTCGCCCCTCTCTTCCCCCTCCCACTCCTCCCTCCCCCCTTCCCCCTCCCCCTCCTCCCCATATCCCCCTCCCCCCTCCCCCCTCCTGCCTCCCCCCTCTCTCCTCCCTCCCCCTCCCCTCCAACTCCCTTCCCCTCGTACCCTCCTCCCTCCCCCCTCCTCCCCTCCACCCCCCCTCCGCCCGCTCTCACCGAAGAGCAGCTTACCCGGATTCACGCTAATCGTTTGGCCGCGCGCGAGAAGCGCCATAGGCACATCGCGCCTTGGTCGGGCGCCTTCGAAGCCAAGTTTTGAGTTTTCGTGTGTCGCTTCCCGTGAGCACGCATTGACTGCAGTCCACCCTTCACCCCTCCCCTCACTCTCTGGACGTCCGCCCTGACCTCCCGCCCCCGCTCCGACATGATCTGTGTGGGGGGGGGGTCTTTGAATGGCGCAGGGCTTCCATGAGTTTGGGTGAGCTCTGCCGCACCCCCAGGCGGAAGCCAGAAAGCATGGGAGGTGGAGGCGGACGGCCCTCCTCCCTCCCTGGGCTCCATCTGGCGATGCGGTGTTGTCCCGTGCCTGGCCCCAGCGATCCCGCCACCGCAACCATCTGCAACATCATCAACCGCAGCATCATCACCATCATCATCCTCATCGTCGCCATCACCATCATCACCATCATCCTCATCCTCATCGTCATTACCATCATCATCATCATCATCATCATCATCATCATCATCATCATCATCATCATCATCATCATCATCATCATCATCATCATCATCATCATCATCATCATTATTATCATTATCATTATCATCATCATCATCATCATCATCATCATCATCATCATCATCATCAGCATCATCATCATCATCAGCATTATCATCATCACCAACATCACCACCATCCGCATCATCCTCCTCATCATCAGCAGCACAAGCAGCAGCAGCAGCAGCAGCACCGTCGTCATCGCCCGCAGCAACAGCCCTCCCCCCGGCGGGGTCAGCCTTTCGGCCCGGGTCCCTGTTCGGCTGCCCGGGGCCCGCCGGGCCCCACGGCGGCCGACGTCGTGGAGAAGCGCGTCGGAGATCTGGGCTCTGTACAGGGGTGGCCATGCCAAGAGACGCCCTGTTTGCCTCCAGGGTGCCCTGGGTTTCTTGGGCTTCGATGGTTTTGCGATGGGAAGCGTGACGCTCCCGCACCAGAAATCGATGGACGTCCCGGGTCTCAGGATTGGGTCTCTTGTGGCAGGTTTCTCCCTAATTACTGTACCGCTCTATTCGTCTCCCGCTCTTCATGGGCTGACGCCAGCTCTGCACCTACGCCAGTCCTGACCAGGCTCACCCTGGGCCCAGGATCTGAGTATACTCCCTCCTGGCCTGGGCAGGAGGGCATGTACACCAATCCTGGACCCAGGATCGGCCTTGCCAGGGTCGGTGTATGTGAACAGTCTAATAGTTTTGAGTCGGGCATGTCCCTCTACAGGGGGAATATTCGGAAATAGTCAGAAAACATCGTCTGGATACGAATTCCGATGAATTTTGACTTTTTGTGAGCATGGTTTGACAATGGCCTATTTTTCTTCCAAGCTCCACATGTAGGACATGCCCGACCTAAGTATAGTTGGTGCCCTCTGGATTTCCCTGGAGCGAGCACGCTAGACAGAACGGCCAAGGCCATGGAGCACGCCCGCGAGCACGGCGACTTGGAGACAGAGCTGGACTGCAGCGTGCAGCTCGGCGTGGCCAAAGGCCAGGCCGGGATGGAGGACTACCTGGGCGAGATCCTCGAGAGGGCGATTGTGCATGGCCGAGGGCGGCACGCCTAGAGCCAGGGGTTGGGAAGAGTACCAGTCAGCGTGTCACTCCTTCGCCATTTTGCCTGGTGTTGCCCCGACAGCAGCACGCAGACGGGCAGCCCACCGCGGCGTCTCGTGGACTGCGTCGGCGACACCCTCGAGAGGGCGGTCGTGCGGTCGTGCACGGGCCCGGGGGCCGCACGCCTGTAGAGAGGGCCCGCAGGCCTTCAGCGTGCTGAACAACTCAGTACGGAAGGCCTTCACCATTCTCTTCCTCTGGGGGTCCTGGCCCAGCTCTGGGACCGTCCAAGAACGACCCGGGACGACCAGACCTCCAGCGTGCGGAACAACCCAGGACGGAAGCCTTGCACCGTTCTCGGCCTCTGGGGGTCCTGGCCCAGCCCACGGGGCCGTCCAAGAGCGACGCGGGGCGAGAAGTCGGCCCCCCGGTGCAGGGGCCCCGAGATCTGGCGCTCCAGAAATTGGCGCAGGCGGTTTTTTGCCGGCTTCGGCCTCCCAGGGCCCTCGCCGGGCCTCGGGAGCGCCAAAAAACGACTCAGGACGAAAAACCGCTCCCGAGGAGGAGGAGAAGGAGGAGGAGGAGGAGGAAGAGGAGGGGGAGGAGGAGGGGGAGGAAGAGGAGGGAGGGGGAGGAGGGGAGGAGAGGGGGGGAGGAGGAGGTCTGCTGCACCTCTGCATGGGGCCCACGCGTCGAAAAATTGGAGCAGCCAGATGTCTGGGGGTGTCGAGGCTCCCGGGGTCGCCGGGAGCCTCGAGAGCCGTCGGCCGATCGTGCGCGGCCGGGGGCCTGCTCTGTCCAGAGGTCGGGGGAGGGTGCAGCATCGACCGATGCGGCGGCTCGTCCTGAAGAGCCCTCCTCCTCCGCCTCCTCCTGATCTCCTCCTCCTCCTCCTCCTCCTCCTCCTCCTCCTCCTCCTCCTCCTATTCCTCCTCCTCCTCCTCCTCCTCTTCCTCCTCCTCCTCCTCCTCCTCCTCCTCCTCCTCCTCCTCCTCCTCCTCCTCCTCCGCTGCTCGTCCTGAAGAGCCCTCGTCGCCACGGCTGGATTCTCTTCGAAAGTCTAGTCAGAACGCACCCTGGGAGAGGTCCGGGGAGTAGCAGTTTGGAGTCGGTTGGGGGTCTGAGGTGGCCCAGCACTGGTTGGGGCCAGCAGAAGGGGTCTGGGAGCCGATTTTGAACGGATTTGCCGTCATCTCCCCCCCCTTCATTTATATTATCAGAGCCCATCGAGCTCAGACTTTCTAGCCGCCTCCAAGTGGGGGTATCAGTACCTGGTCGAGATCCTCGAGAGGGCGATCGGGCATGCCCAGGGATGTGGAGACCCTTCCCTCCCTTCTTTCGCTCAGGCTCTTTGGGGCCTCTTTGGGGCCTTTTGGCGGTTTCGGGGGTGGGACATCATGGGCCAGGGCTGACAGGCTGCAAGTCTCACTTCGAATCCCCCCTAGTCGGCTCAGTTTGAGTTCCCCCTATCCGACTTCCCTTCGGGCCGTCTTGGGAGCCTCGTGGGCCCCGCTTGGGGTTGATAGTTGAGGCTTCTTGGCCGTTCTCCAGGCCTTTAGATTGAAGAGATAGGAATGCTCAATGTCACAAACCCTGTTTTTCTGATGTGGGAATCATTGGCGGGGCCTCGAGGCCTCCAAAATGGTTCAAGAGAGCCGCAGGACGGGCCATGCTAAGAACTTGTGGGAAGTGTGGGCTCCCAGCCACGCGTTTGAGGCTCCTGGAAACAGTCACGCAGAAAGACCCAGAACCGGGGGCGTGGAGCCTTCACAGGACACGTACAGTACTCACGGTTGAGAATTCGACGGTGCCAGAGGAAACCCCACTCCGTGCCTACGGCACGGTTCGATTGCCCTCAGGACGTGTGTGTTAGCCCGATGGGTGCTTACAGTGGAGACCTTTCCAAGAAACGCACTGCTTCACTGCTTGCCTCCAGGGTGCCCTGGGTTTCTTGGGCTTCGTTGGTTTTGCGATGGAGACCGTCACGCTCCCGCACCAAAAGTCGATGGACGCCCTGGGGTCTCAGGGTTGGGTCTCTCGTGGCAGGTTTCTTGTGGTCGGGCCCCTACTGCACCACCTTGAGCTCCTCCTCCTCCTCCTCCTGTTCCTCCTCCTCCTCCTCCTCCTCCTCCTCCTCCTCCTCCTCCTCCTCCTCCACCGCCATCCTCCTCCTCCTCCAAATCCTCCTCCAGCGCCCTCCTCCTCCTCCCTCCTCCTCCTCCTCCTCCTCCTCCTATTCTCCTCCTATTCCTCCTCCTTCTCCTCCTCCTCCTCCTCCTCCTCCTATTCCTCCTCCCGCTCCTCTTCCTCTTTCTCTCCTCCTCCTCCACCTCCTCCTCCTACCTTCCTCCTCCTCCCTCCGCCTCCTCCTTCTGCTCCTCCCCCTTCTCCTCTTCTACATCCCCCTTTTCATCCTCCTCCCTCTCCTCCTCCTCCACTCCCCGGAGCGCCTGGGAGCGCTCTGGGAGCGGCAGCGGCGCCCCGGGCGCTCCTTTGTGAGACGCGCCCGCGATCAGTCTGCGCGCCACCGGCCCTCGCGGCAGGATCATTGGAGGAGGAGGAGGAGGAGGAGGAGGAGGAGGAGGAAGAGGAGGAGGAGGTTCTCCCAGCCCGCAGAGGGAGCGGACGGAGAGGGAGGAGAGAGCAATTGGGGGCGCTTGCCAGGACAAGACACTGCTGTTCCCCAGTAGGGGTGACAAGCCCTGTCAGGGCCCACCGACGAGGCGACCCAACCAGAACAAAAGATGACCCGTCAACCCGTGGTCCGCTCGCCTGGCTTGGGCCTCCGCGCGATCTGCGAGGGCCATCCTGCCAAAGGTCTCTGCCTCCTCCATGCTGGAGAAGCCGAGCGCCCGTGCCCACGCCCAGCTTGGGAGCAACGGGCTGCCCAGAGAACGGCAAAAGCCTGTCTGGCTGGTGCGCCCACTGTACAATGCTGGGCAACACGGACACGGGTGGCCTCCGAGGGGAGCTGACAGGCACATGGCCCCAGCTCTGCCAAGGGAAATTTCGGGGCATGGTTGTGGGCCCCATCCATGTGCGCATCGTGCACGCAGAGCCTCCTCTGAGTTCCCGTGGGCGGTTGCAAGTCCTTGAGAGACCCCAGTGCGTAGGAGTGGCGACGTGCTGCCAACACCCGGGGCCAGAGCTGAGAGCGCCGTCGTCGGGCACCGAGCGCTCGACCAGGCAGTGCTGCTCGAACCTCCACGGTTGGACCCCCTGTTCCAGCAGCCACTCGGGGTTCTCGAGAGTTGGGACCCAGGGAGGGGAGCACAGTAGGGGCAGTAGGCTCAGCAAGAGGAGGACGAGGCCACATAGGGGTGACCGGTGCCCCCTGTGTGGCCTACTCCTCAAAAAGGCCTGGGGGTCAAGACCCCAGATCGATCCTCTTGTGAAAGTCAGCCCCCGAATTATCGCGAGTCTCCTGGATGCCCCTCATAGCCATGAAGATGAGCAGGAGAAGGGGGAGAAGGAGGAGGAGCTTCCGCACCAGACCCTGACAACCGGACGTCCCCCGAAGGAGACCCCGGAGGCTTCCTGAAGCCCCCGCAGGGCACAAGACATAAGATACATTGCTCCGGGAAAGTTCCAGATCCTCCCTCCTCGATCCTGCATGGTCGAGGGCAGCATTCGGCGCGACGGCGTCCCTCCTCTCGTCTCGCCCTCGTCCCCCCCTGGGGTTAGTCCGGAGCCTTCCTCTTCGATCTTGCAGCGTCGAATCTGGTTGACCCAAAAGCGGGTTAGAAATGTGGTGCAATAGAGGGTGGATTGAAATAGATTTGGGGCGTGCAATACACTCCTGTGCGCAAATGTACTGCTGGATTTTCGCGTGCGTTACATTGGTTGCAGTGCAGCGCAATACAGTTCTCCAGCGCAATACCTTTGCAATACGATTCTATTGCACCCCCCGTGTCAGCTGGACCCCCTCTTGGGTCAACCCAAGTCGACGGCGAACCTTCTGCACGGCGACGTCCCTTCCCCAGCCCCGCCCCTGGCTCCACCGCCGCTGAGGTGGGCGTAGCTGCTCGCGGGCCCTCGCTGCCAGCCGATCAGGCGCGCTGGGGCGGTGCCAGGCAGGGGAGGGGCTTCGCGTCCTCCAGCCACCTGCCTCCTCTAGAACCTCCCTCCCTCTTCACCTTCTCGTATGTATCATCGTGTTTCCATCTTCTCCCTCCTCCCTCCTCCTCCTCTTGGCCCTTCTCCTTTTCCTCCTCATGTTCCTCCTCCTCCTCTTCCTCCGCCTCCTCCTCCTCCTCTGTACCTCCTCCTCCTCCTCCCCCTCCTCCTCCTCCTCCTCCTCCTCCTTCTCCTCCCCTCTCACCTCCTCTCTCGCATCCTCACACCGCATCCGTCCTCTATTCCTCATCATCCATCGTCTTGTTTCTACTCATTCCTCCCCATCCTCGTCACCACCGTCCTACAATCTCTCTTCATTCAGCCTACCCCTCCTCCTACTCCTCCTCGTCCTCCTCCTCATTCTCCTCCTCCTCTCTCACCTCCTCCCTCCGAATCCGACCTCGTATGTTTCATCGTCCTTCGCGTTCTTTCTACTCATCCCTCCCCGTCCTTGCCCTCATCTTACTACTAGCTCTCTTCCCGTGAGCCTCCTCCTCCTCTTCTTCCGTTTCTTTTTCCTTCTGACCGACCGAGTCTGGTCACAGCGTGAAAAAGGAAGCATGGAGTCCGATACTATGCCGAAGTCAACGAACCAGCGCACGATGAACGCCTTGCAGCGCGCACAAGTACTCGGGAAGCTGCATACGGACATAATGCCCAAGCCCAGCCAGCCACGCTCAGCACACCCAGAGAGGTTTGCAGAGTGCCCACCAGCCCCAATCGAAGACCAGAACTAAAACCGCTGCCAAGTCGGAAGTCCCATCGCATAACGGCTTCCCCCAGAGAATACAGAGTGCGCCCCCTTGCCCCCTGCGTGGTTATTTTTCCCGGATCTGCAGGATTTGATTGTGGAGAGGGGCGGCGAGGCCGAACTTGATTCATCATCATCATCATCATCATCATCATCATCATCATCATCATCATCATCATCACCATCACCATCACCATCACCATCACCATCACCATCACCATCACCATCACCATCATCCTCCGCCGAGGAAATCGTTTATTATCCCCCCCCAGACCCCGAACTGTATCATCCCCAGGGGTTTGATATCAGCGGCATGGGGTCGGGATGAGGAGCAGTAAATGGGGCGGACAAGCACTTCCGCCTTTCTTCCAACAGCCACAGGAAGACGAGCCCACACCGGGTCGACCACGCATTCACGAGTGAGGCGCCCCAGCCCGTCGTGCAGCAGATGCAGACCAGGCCGGGCCCCATGCGCGGGCCGACCCCCGCCCCGACGGCCGAGCTGCGCGGCTGCTTGTCGAATAGGGAAACAACCTGCTCTCGGGCGCCCCACCGAGATCAATACTCCCCCGATGGCCTTGGGGACCACTCTGCGACCCGCAGAGGTCGACGAAGCATGTGGCCCAACCTTTTTGCACAAAGATGTCCTGATCGTAGTTTCGCACCGGGGCGGCACTGGTGGGGGAAAACTCCACCGGCTCCGAATTCTAGAGTTGTCTTCCCCAGTGAAGGCAGCTCCCTGTGTTGGTGCTGGTGCCAATCTTCCAGCCTCCTAGAGAAGCGCCGCCTGACTGCATTTGCCGGGACGGTGCCACCTCACGGCTCGCACAGAGACAGAGAGGGAGAGGGAGAGAGAGAGAGAGAAAGCCTGCACCGTGCTGTGCCACTTGCTGCGTGCCAGTGTGACATGCACTGCTCCTGGTGTGCAGTGCCACGTGGGGCGTTCCGGAAACGGCGGAAGCAGGCGGAAGGCCGGCGGAAGCCGGCGGAAGCAAAAATCGGATTTCCAACAGATTGCACCATTTTGGGGTCCAACGTTTCGGAAACCGGCCGTTTGTGTGTGTGTGTTGCGCTTCGACGTGCCAGGCATTAAAGTGTCAGTCGTTGCTGTGTTGCGTCGTGTTATGCAACACTTTGCCGTTCCATGTTACGCTGCGCCAGGCCTTACCATGCCATGTCATGCTACGGTAATTATGCTGTTCAGCGTTGCGCCCTGCTGCTGTGCCGTGGCATGCTAAGCGGTGTTGCAATAGGCATCGCTATGATTGGCGATGGCTTCCATCACATGGCACGTAGTTGCCGCGTGCCTCAGTGCATTGCATTGGACATGTACGCTTCCAGCACGAAGAGCATAGTATGTTGTTTTTGGCGCGATGGTTTCACGCCTGCATCTTGGGACACCCTTTACTTTTATTTGGAGTGTGTAGAGGTCCCCAGAGGCCTTCGTGGTACCAGGAGGAAAGGACGGAGAGGAAATCGTTCGCGAATGGTCGCAGGCTTATGGTCAGTATATGGTGTTGTTCGAAGGTCTTGTGTTCGCAGGTATGAAAGCAGTCTGTCTATAGCGGGTCAGGAGCGGCAGAGTCGCTCGCTATATTCCAATGTTCTTTTATCGTAGTTGTCCAGCATCGAAGATCGTGGTGCCTTGCGCTTAAGTCAGCGGATCCGTCTCGTGAGCATCAGCTTTACTTTGCATCAGAGCATGCGGGGTCGCCGAGCACAGTTCGTGTGTTTCGTCACTGATCGTGTCCCTTCTTTGTTTGGAGCAGGATGCATCATCGACGTGCCGGCTCGCTTCTCCCCAGTGGTGTGTCCACGTCTTGCTCTCCCAAGGCGCCTGCGCGTCATATATGCTAGTGTCGCCTCTGTGCTTCGTCGCTCCTGAGTGGGTGCAGGTCTCAGTTGCTGCTCACCCGGTATGGCGAGAACGGTGTTCACCCACAGATCTGAGCAGGTGCTTTGCCTCTCTGGTGCCGAGCCCACGGGGTCGGGCGCGGCCGCACGGACCTTCGGCGGTACGGACTGGCCCGCAGCTTGTCTGCCAGCAACTGGCTGGCAGCACGAACACCAGAAAAAAAAAGCCTCAGCTGATGGGCCTGTTTTCCACCACCACCACCACCACCATAAGTTGGAGGGGTGAAGGAGGATGAGGACGATGAGGAGGAGGAGGACGAAGAAGAGGAGGAGGAGGAGGAGGAGGAGGACCCCCTCCCCCTCCAACTTATAGTGGTGGTGGTGGTGGTGGAAAATTGGCCCATCATCAGCCGCGTGGATCAGTGACCTTGAGCTATGCCCCACAGGACTCCAGGTGCCTGGAGCCAACGGCGCTGGAGGTGCTCACAGTTGTCTGCCTCCGGAGGGCGCGCCAGCGCCAGGGCCCTTTCGAGCGTCAGAGGAGCGATCCAGGAAGGAGCATTGGTTGTGGGGGAGGGGTCGAAAGGTCCCGGGCCGGGTTCTCAAAGAAATCGATTGTTGTCGGAGGCTTGGGGAAAGTGTATTGCTTGCACGCGAGTGGGGGGGGAGGGATACTTTCTACGGTTGCCTCGAATCGGAGAGCGGCCCCATCCAACGAGCGTGCCAATTGGGAGGGAGGGAGGCGAAAGGCGAAGCAGGGGGAGGAGGAGGAGGAGGAGGAGGAGGAGGAGGAGGAGGAGGAGGAGGAGGAGGAGGAGGCGTCGTACGCGGCACTGTCCATGGCTCAGAGCATTCTTCCGTCCGTCCTGTAGCTGTAGTTTCTAGTGTTGCAGTGACCCTTCGATCCGATGAGATTCAGCCCTTCCCCTTCTCATCCCTGTCCTCTTCATTCGCTTCCTCCGTCCTCCGTCTCCACCTCCTTTTCCTCGCCCTATTCGATATCGTATGCTGAAGGACTGGGGCTACGACAGCACCAGCGTCTGGGCCGACCCGGAGGAGGGCAAGGTATGGGTCGGCAGCGAAATCGCGCTGCAGGTGACCATCGACGGCGGCACGCTGAAGGTGGAGTACGGCCCGGGCTGGGAGGACTGGTTGACTGGAGCCGATTTCCCACAGTTCCCTGAGATGGTGCAGAATTTGCGTGAGAAATTGTAGAGGATCCCAGCCAAGGGGATCGGCAAAAACGGCCCCAAAGGGAAAGGAGGGAAGGCGCATCGGCTACGAGCACCCTGGCTCCAATTTTGGGCGTGGAAGCTTAGGCGAAGCTTTACCGCGCAGGTCCGAGCCGAACGTTTCACCACATGTTTCACAACCTTGCAGTGACCATCAACGCGATTACAACGTACCAGCTCTTGGCCATCATTTTGTTGAGCGGGCAGGGCGCGCAGGACATTTCACAGACATACGGCGAAAGCGTCCCTGCAATGTCACGGCCGTTGCCTCCTGGAATGCGGAAGGCATGCGCTTGGACAGCGACTGCACCAAGTTAGATCAGCTTGTGCAGGCGATGGAGGAGAGAGGAATCGCAGTTCTATGCTTGCAAGAAACACATTTGTGTAATGCTCCTTTCTTTGACCATAGAGGGCATTTAGTTATTTTGTCAGGTGGCCCCGGGAATGTCCGCGAGCACGCAGGAGTGGGTTTCGTGGTTGCTCCTTCTGCCCGGCACGCTGTCCAGAGCTTCGTTCAAGAATCGAGCAGACTTGCTAGTCTGACGCTTCGAATCCCAGGCGGCTCCATGTCTATCATTACCGCATACTGCCCTCAATATGGTCTTGATTTTGATGTCCGCCACGACTTCCATAGCGATCTTCACAATTTTATTCTCCGTACCAAGCCTCATGGACATGTTGTACGTATTTGGTGACATGAATGCCCGTTTTGGTCCAGAGTACGAGCATGCAGACGTTGTCGGTCCATATGCCTGGGGGCCTACAGGTAACGCGGTCGATGCTCGCAGTAATCAGCACATGCTCATCGAAGTTTGTACCGCTCTACACATGGTCCTTGCAAACACGTTCCTGGACAGGCTGGATGTTCAGAAAATGACCTACTACGACCTCTGGGCCACGCCTGTTTCGGAGCTCACACCGCAGAATTTCGCCGAGATCGACCACTTGATGGTGTAACGGAAGTGGCAGGACATGGTTCGAGAGGTCAGAACGGATCGATCGATAGGTTTCACATCGCACCATTTTCTCGTCATTGCTCGGCTCGCGGTGGAGATCCCGAAGACCTCC